TCTAGGTCATAAGCTATCTGTGTGCAAATTTTCATGCAAATCCATTCAGTCGTTCCCTTATATTAAATAAATTAAACTTTTTTAACAGGTGGCAAGTCTTAAAAAGAAATAGCCTATTAACCAATCTGGCCCATAAGCTACTTGCATACAAAATTTGATGCAAATCCGTTCTGTCGTTTCCGCGTGATGATTTCCCAAACATCCAAACATACAAACTTTCACATTTATAATATTAGTAAGATATGCAAATAGAAATGCTCAAACTACAAGCTCAAAAACAGTATTTGATGTGGTGTTTTCAAGATATTTTAACGCCCTTGAGTCAGAAGTATTTACAGATATCATATCTTAGTAATCATACCAATAATTTCGTGCATTAAAAGAATTAAAAATGAAAATGAAAAAAATTTTTACCAGCAAAATTAATAAAATTAAGTGAAATTAATGTTTAATTTCTAACCTAACCTACATGCGTATGTACATATGTATGTAACTGAATCGCCTATTAATAGGTTTGCATATAAGTAGCGTAGTAATTGGTGGCCGCTGTGGTGTAGTGGTAGGCAGTGCGCGCTTCCACTCCGCAGCGCCTGGGTTCAAGCCCTGATTTTTCTTACCAGCGGTCGCCCCTCGGCAGGCAATGACAAACCTCCAAGTGTATTTCTGCCATGAAAAACAGCTTCTCATTAAAATACAATCGCCGTTCGGAGTCGGCGTAAAACTGTAAGTCCCTCCTCTTTGTGACAACATCAAGGCGCATGTCACAAATCGGGGGAGAAGCACTAACATATGTGTAAGCGCCAATCTATTATTATTATTATATTAGTAGATTATCCTCAATTTCAAGCTTAACTCCCTAATCTGTAATTAGAAAAAGAGATTAGCCTTACAAAATTACACTGAGAAAAAAACGCGTTGTAAGAATAAAAAAACTTTATTTGATTACCGTTTAAAAATTTTCGTTTTTAAATCAAGTGAAAAGTCTTAACAAAATTGATTTTTTCATTATACATACACTACGTATAATGGAAATATTCAAATCAAATACGCCCGTATTAAAATGAAGCATTTTCACTGCACGGATTCTTTTCATATGTAATTAAGAAAGCATATGTATACAAAGCATGCAAAGCGGTGACAACACATCCATACATACATATGTACATACTAGAGTCCAGCGCAAGTGTATTTGCCGCATTTCGTTCAATAAGTATTCCTTGCATTGTACTCTACTCCCAACACATTGTTACTATTTTTCCGCATACATACCCTACTTGGCGTTGAGAGAGTAAATACTTGACGTACGCGAGATATTTGCTGCTGCCAAAAGGGAGTAGCAAATCTACTCTCTGTATACTTGTAGTACGGTAAGTACTTGCGTATTAAATTTCAATCCTGGTTGTTAGCCTACTAGTTGATATCGTTTGCGGCGCTGGTCAGTGAAATTGAAAGAGTAAAAATAGAATATGGAATTTGACGATGTAAGGAAATGTTTACGGCCTTATTTATAAAAAATAACGTAGAGTTAGACAGTTGTTTAATGTGACATTTTCATAAAACTTTTGTATTCAAGCAGCTTTTTAAATCTATGTATGTATGTACTTAAATTTTTATGAAAGTATTATTTCTCGTTTCTAATTTTCTATAAAACTATTTGCAGTCATTAACCAACAAATAAGTTGTCGAAAACAATAACTTAAGCAATGCTGCTATACGAAATAAAATTATTAGAGGCCAATCAAAATTTTGAAAAGTGCCGATTTTCACATTCGATAGTCGGACATGGTAGCGACGAGATGTACGAGCATTTTTTTCTTAAGAACTGCATACTGATTTAAGAAATTTTTATAGAAGCTAATTTATATTCCATTTATTGTGCGTAATTTTATATGAATT